GCGCAGCGGGAGCCAGCGCTCACCTGCGTGACGTCATCCCGAGGCTGCACACAGGTCTCCCCTCCCGCCGTGAAGTTGCAGAACACCCGGAAGGCGTCCCGAGCGCAGCCCTGGTTGGGGTCCACCCAGTATTCACCTGTTGGGCGGAGAGATGCCCTTTGCACCCATATTCCCACTCCCCCAGCCCTCCCGGCCCCCTGCTCTGCCACCAGAGCCCCCTAACACAGCCCCCCTTCAGTTGCCCTCAGCACCTACACCCCATCCCATCCCGGACACCCCGAGCCCAGCAGCATCCCCAGGCTCCTGACTGGAAGGGTCCGAGCGTGGCTGTAGGTCCGCACACGGTCCTTGGTGTGAGTGCAAGCACGCGTGTAGGCACAGGCGTGTTTACCAGCCCTGCAGCTGTCAGCTGACAGCCGGCTGGTGCCCACTGGAAGGACTGTGTCAGTTCCTAGTACTGAAATAATCTGACCTGGCTGGAAAGTGGCCACTGTTCCAGTCCCCTCATCCCTGCCCAACACCTTTCCCAAGACTCCAGCAACATCCATTCTGCTTGTCCGCACCCACGCTCTTGTCAGTATTTTTGTGTCCCCTGAGGCTGGCACTGACCATCAGGCAGCTCTGGGTGGCAGAGCTTCAGGTCCTGGCAGGTGCGAGCAGGGCTGTCCTGGGTCCCTGTCGGCCGCCTCATCTGCTCTATCTCCTCCCGCAGGGAATCCAGTGACCCAAAGATCTCCTCCAGCCCCCCAGGACTGCCCGGGGCCCCCTCAGTTGGCACGGCCTCATCTTCCTGCATCACGCGGCTTCCGTCCACTGAGCGCCGAGTCTTCTTGGGCATCTGGATGGGCAGGGGCTGGATCACCTCGCCCGGGGGGCCCTGGGTGGAGGGGCAGAGGGAGAGGGTGAGGGTGAAGCAGAGAAGGTGCAGGACAGGGAGGGACAATCAGAGGAGCAGGCCAGGACTCCTAACTCACCGGGTGTCCTGGAGGGCCCTGGACGCCCTTCTCTCCCTTTGGTCCGGCTGGGCCCTGCCAAAGGAGTAAATGGGGTCATGGAGAGGTCAGGTCACAGTAAGGTCAACCAGTATCCAGGCTGGGAATGGGGCTCCACTGGGGGGAGCATGTTTGGTCTAGAAAGCACCAAGTCCTGCTTGGGGAAAGGGGCAGAGGTCAGGGCTGGCTGGGGTCCACTCACTGTGGCTCCTTTGGCGCCCTTGGGTCCAGCAGGTCCCTGTGAAATGAAAAACATGGTCACCACAGGGGAAGGTAGGGACACAGGAATGGAGAGGCAAGGTCATGAGTCCACAGGACAGTGGGATTACCACAGGAGGGGCAGGCATGAGGGAACATGGGGACATTTGGGAGTCCTTGGAAGGGGGGAGGAAACACTGCAGGTGTAAGGACACACAGGGGAAACACTCCTACGCTCGGTAGGCTGGCAGCTGCTATGGAAGCCGTTGGTTTAGGGGTTTAGTGGAGGAACAGATGGGGTACTCACGGTGAGGCCAGGGGGCCCTCCAGGGCCAATGGGGCCAGAGGCTCCCGGGATGCCCTAGGAAAGGGAGGACCTGGTTCAACTGGGTTCTCCTCCCACCCCTCCCTCGCTCCACCCAGAGTCCCCACCACAGCCCCTCCCACCCCCAGGGGGAATCTCCACCCTCATCCCCCCAACTTTCCAGGACAGTGCCCTCTACTCGCTGCCCTCTACTCACCGTCTCTCCCTTCTGTCCAGTGGAGCCCTGAGGGCCAGGAAGTCCCCGGTCACCCTTCTCTCCCTGCTCTCCAGGGGGCCCGATCAGTCCAATGAGACCTGGGTGACCCTGGAGAAGAGGACAGGTGGTCAGGGGATGCAGAGGGGAGACACGTGTATGCGGCTGGAGGAGGCCACGAGGNGATGCGGCTGGAGGAGGCCACGGGGGTCAGAGCCCAGGAGACAAGAGAGGCTTAAGCACAAGGGCTGTGGAGAGCCCTGGCTGAGTAAGGGCCCCGAGACCTGGCACTGGAAGCCTAGAGCCGAGCAATGGGCACTCAGCATCCCACAGGTCTCCAGGCAAGGGAGAAGGTAGGGGCGAGGCCACTTGTCTGGCTGTCACTCACCTTCTCTCCCTTGGCCCCAGCATCACCACGGAGGCCAGGAAGCCCTGGGGGTCCCTATGGGGAGACAGGAAGTCACCCTTTCCAGCTCTCCGCCCAACACTTCCCACGTCCTCCAGAGCTTCAGCTCAAAGCCCACTGCCCCAGG